ACTCTTTTTCCTTTTTTACAGTCAGAGCTTATACATTTAGTACACACCATATATTCTTTCTGTATCTAAATCTAACAGCAACAGCTCTTCTATCAAATTTTACAAAACATTAAAGTATTTCTATATAATTGTTATCCTGATTATAATTAAAAAGCCTTTAGAGTGTTTAGTTCCATGGCTGAATAGAGAAGATAATAACGCAAATCTTTTATCAAAAATATTGTTTAAAGGAAATATTTTAATTGTTGACAGTACGATTGGTCCGTCCAAACGAGCACTACTTTTTTAATGGTTATCTTATCAATTTAAACCATATTCTGGCTTTTTATATGAATGTTATTTTTTATCTGCGGAATGTTTTGTATTTAGCTGATGTCACAAAGAAGTTTAACCTGTTCCCGTAACTTCTAGATTCCCCCCTTTACATACAACAACATTTTCAAAATGCGTGCTTTCTATAGTCTTATACCATTTTTAGCTACTCTGTGTCTTATTATCATAATAATATTATTAACTTACCTCTTATTGAAGTAAGGAATGCAATGCAAAGATATATTGCGATACAGATACAAAACGTCATTCTTATTGAAGAAAAATCACTCGTTTCTGATGTCCTCTGTCCTTTCCTGGCCGTTGCTAACGGTTATTTAATTGTTCATTTCTTCATTACTACTTGTATTATGTTGATGAATTTGCTAGGCATCCTCAAGCCCGAAGTTTTTACTTCGTGGAAATAAACAGTACAACTGGAAATATATATTAGTTTTGTTCATTTCATCCCGAAAATGAAATAGACGATGTAGATATAAAATAGTGTGGTTAATTAAAAAGATTTATAAATACGCGATTCAGATATAGAGGGAGTTTCCTGGATGGAGTAGGTAAGATGTACACACTTTGTATACATGCATTTTACTTATCATTTAAATTGATGGGTTAACATTTAAAACGCTTAGAAAAGTAAAATATTTCACAAGGAAACCTTTATTGGCCATATGTTGACACATAATTTGCATGTAAGAATAACATGAGGACTTTCGGGTAATTTGTAGAAGGTCATAAACACTCTCTACCTCTTGTAAATTCCATAAAATGCTATTAATTTTGCCTATATATTATAAAGTCAAAGGCTATTGTAAAGACTATGGTTTCTTCAATTTGGAACCCTGCGGCTCGCCAGAAGTAATTTTTTTTTTGCTCATTTGCTTTAACATGTCCATAATACTGTCGTGCCTGTGATACACCGATAGAGAATACGATGATTAGCAAAAATGACGCTTATATACTCATTTCCTATTATGGAGTCAGGCCCCGTTCTTCCCCCCTTCTTTTATATGTAATGAATGATTTCCCATGATGCTTGTAATTTAGTCATTTCATTCTAAATCACAATGTATAGCTGCTTTTCAATTTTAAATACATATCAGGATTTGCTTAGATACACTACGTTATATGAAAAAAATTAATCATCATGGGGATTTTAGTTAGACATGACTTTTCCGACTGGGATTACAACTTCAGATTTATTTATCCATTGTTTTTCTCATTCACCACAAAGATGTTTTTACATACAAATCTTTATCATTATTTTTTTTTTGCTTCTTGCAAGGTTTCTAACCTATTTGAAAAAATGATTTCATGATTGAATTGATGATAATCAATTTCGTTGATTATGTAATTTAAGCTTGAGAGTTTAAATGAATTGTCAATAATTTGCTAGATTCAATTTCACAATGACGTATGTGTACCGCGCAATATCTATCACATTTTTTGGAATGGAATGTGAGGATTCACATGCGGCTTACGTTCATCATTAATTAGCTCTGTTTCTATACATATATATATATATATATATATATAGTAAATATTTGTATATTTATATATAAAGTATGAGGTATATTTTACGTCCTTAAGGTCACGTTCATAATAACATTAGTATTTAAAAATAAAACCAATTGAGAAGTACCTATTTGTTTCGTGACACGCTTGTATATGAAACTACCCCCTCTACATCTTTATTAATATGTATGTATATCGATATCAAATGGTGTAGAGGTATTTTCTGGACCTCTAGAAAGAACAGAGCCTTTATGTAAATGGCTCTAATAAGATATATTAATCCTTTTTATGAATGATTCTGACTTGTATTTGTTAATTTCATGTATGATGCTTAATACAACCCCAACAAACAAGAAAAACAAAAATTAACCTAAACAAACCTAGGATTTGTACTTAGTACCTAGAATGAGTATTTCTAGTTGGTCATTCCTTGTAATCAGTCGTTCCGAAATGACTTTGCCTTAAATGCTGAACCTCAACTTTATCTTTTAGTCTAGTGTTCTTTATCTCTCTAGCTGTTGTGTATACAATTGTACATGTCAGGCCCTCTACCCTCTCACTCTGTCGTCCTCCGTTCATTCTGTCATTGAAACTTCATCCACAAATAGCCCTACTCCCTCCATGTAAATATCTTTATTTCCTAGAAATCATTCATAAATATTTTACACTTTCTCTGTCACATATTATTCTCTCACATTTCTAGTTTGCACTCTTAAACTCTCAGTTCGTACTTGAATTATTCAAACTTTTACAATTATCCCTATCTCGTGGGTCCGGTTGTCCAGCACACACTTTATATATGCTTGTATATAATCTGTTTATTTTGAATTTATTTACACTTGTGTTCAAAGTATTATCCCATATATTTTGCCATCAAATAACACTTTCTTCATCCATCTGGTTTTGTTAGAGTAACAAGTAACTATAAACTGTTAAAACCTCACCATTGTTTTATCTGTGCAGCTTTTATTGAAATACATAACAATGAGTATATTTCCCACAGGTCTGTCATGCAGTGCACTCAGTGCAATGCAAAGATAAAACGATTGCTTTAAACATAATTGATTCATCGATGAATCAGAAAATATTTCGGGAATAGACCATTAATGAACAGAAATACAGACAGACTATACAAATTGTAATAATAACTGATCAATATAAAATTAGTGTCCACTAGACGGATATCCTCATGTGATGAAGTAAAGTTGAAATACTCCAAAAGCAATATTAATTACATGTTTGTATACAAGTATGCAACAATGGTGTGATTAGTTAAGGATTCAATATGCTCAGATACAAATGCAATTAAATGTATAAACAACCTTGAGGTCTCCCATGATTTACAATGCAAGACTTGTTAAACATTCATATTATTTGTATTCGTCTAAAGTCAATTATTAATGTTATATTACAAATTATCTCATTCAGAGTGAAATAGTGCAATGGTGTAGTTATATTGATTTACATACATGTACATATGAGCTTATATGAGAATTATAATATCTGCCATTATAGTTATAATTATTAACTTGACACATATATATGTTACAAAGCCCTCAATATTTGAATCTAATCTCAAACTATCAAGCCCTACTGTTATGCATGAAAATATGTTTAAATTTAATTTGATTCTACATCTTAAAGCTACAGGATACAACTACATGTACATATAATGTGTATACAAATGAATCGAAAGAGGCCATTGTTACTGCAAGTTAACATGTATCATTCAATGTTTAAAAATTTGCGATTGTGCAACACATGACCGAGATATTACATTATTGAAACAACACACTCTATACATACATGTAATAATTAACAGCGAATTGTTTTTAAAGTGTTAATCATAGAAATATAGTGTTCGTCATCTTTTTACAGTGTTGCTTTCAATGCGATCCTGCAGGCGGTTAGACTTACAGGCCAGAGTAGGAGATTAAATCTACTTTGAGAGCAAGTAGTTGTAATAAAATGCAATTCGTGCCATACACATTAAATATAGCATATAATCGATACACAATGCATTCTAAACCTAAGCAGGTTGTGATATTTTACATGTATTTGCTACATTTATTTAGTAGTTGCTTTAAGATGAAATATTTGACAGATATCCTTCGACACTTATTGAAATATGAATTTTCATTTAAACATCATCATTATAATACATTTATCATACACTTTAAGCTTACTAAAGTCCGATTTTCAAATTCATGTAAATGTGACAGATTTTAACCCAAATTGAAATAGTAACAAAAGCGGTGCAAGAAATCCTAATAACATACGATAGTAGGTATAATTCCATATTTACAGCATATTCTTTTGAATCAGTTAATATTTATTGTTCGTTATAAACCAGCAAATATATATATATTTAAATGTTTAAGTGATAAGTATACATACAAAGATAAACATGGACATAATACGTAAAACTGTTTTAATACAAACGAATCCCTTGTGCAACGTTTGCAAAAGATCATGGTGTTATGCTAGGGGTCCACCTTTTCACATTATGTCTACCTGCATTAGCAGTATGTTCTAAAATCGAATGTAGAATAGTTTACAATATGTTGATGGAACCGAATAAAAGACGATCTATACCTTTCGAGTAAATTATGATTATATATAAAATAAAAAAAATCAATCTAAATACATAACATGCGGCATTCTCTTAATATTAACTTAATATTACTACTGAAATATGGAGTGTAATTTACACATTCACTCATTTACTCTACTTTAGAGTGTGATAAAATTCGATACAATCACGACAATAGTATTTTATAGAAAATTACATGAATCATAAACTATAAATAGGCCTACTCGTACAGTTTTGGGCATCACATATTTTCTAATTCTAGTTTTTCTTTATGTTCTTGATTTTTTTACATGTAAAATTATTTCAGAATATGTTTCCTTTTACACAATGCAAACAAAAACCCATATGTATGCAAACCTTCACCAACTTTGATCCACGAAAGCATTTGATGGTGTAAGCTTCCCTTTTTTCTGAGTAAGGACTCTTTATTGCTAATTAAGTGGGATGTTTGTACCATTTCTGATGAAGCTATCTTCATATGTTATCACATTCAACTTTTGATTTACCCAGTGCGTCACTCTTCTTTTACGGAGACGACATAGGCGGTATGGGATACATGTTTATATATGTAGTGGTTGTTTTAGCATTAGCTTCTTGTGCTGTGGGAAGGATATTGATATATTGAGGATCACCGGATTCGTTTTTAGACGCCTTTTCGTCTATATACACATTTACCGCCCCATCACACTTTCAAATAGGACTAACACAATATTCATTGTCTGGGTTGTTTTGCAGCGCACTTTTTTCAGTCATGTCCCTATTTACATAGACAGCCTCAGGACACTTTCGAGTAGCACTAGGACTGATGTATTCGTCATTGTCGGCGGGAGAAATCGGCTTCATGTCCATGTAGTTGCTTGTAGGTGTGTCATTGTTGGTGCGAGGAACAGGCTTCAAGTCCATGTAGTAACTTGTAGTTGTGTCAGTGTTGGTGCGAGGAATAGGCTTCAAGTCCATGTAGTCGCTTGTAGTTGTGTCAGTGTTGGTGCGAGGAATAGGCTTCAAGTCCATGTAGCAGCTTGTAGTTGTGTCAGTGTTGGTGCGAGGAACAGGCTTCAAGTCCATGTAGTCGCTTGTAGTTGATTTAGAGGCGTGAGATGGAGGTACTGGTGCTATTTCAGTATATTCACCCTGGTCCACCTACAATAATATTTCCAAGCAAAATACTTAAAGTGAATTTCAAAATGTCAAATATTTGATTCTATTATTCATATAAGGCCTATGAATCAATAGTTTGCAATTTTTAATATTTTCCTTTAAACGGTGTCTGAGTCTTTCTGTACTGAAATTTGAGTGTAACAGTAGCTTGTAATGCAAAGAGGCAAATCATTTTTACTACCTACAACACAGCGGCGTATATATAAAGGAAAAATGGCGCCAGGGACGTACAACATTTTGCCACAACCTTTACAAGGTTTTCTGTTCAAAATACAAACAACATTTCCTCGACCAAGCCTGAGATTGGTAATCAACATTTGAATACCTATACAAATAAGTGTAGGAGCAAAGTGACCAAGCGGTATATTACTTTTTCAATCTTGTTTTTATTTTTTCAAAACCTGTGCATTCTAAAATGCAGAGTTGTTCAAAGTAACTCAGTATAGACTAATTCTCAATTTCGATTACATTTCAATTGAAAACAAACAAAGAAATTACTTTTTAACTTGACAATTAAATTCATGGGGTTTAATTATGATTAAACTGAGTCATTAAAATGAATCCTGTTAAGAATGCTGAATTTATGGAGATAATTTGTTTCGACATGCCGCAGCTGAACATTAACCGATATGCATGTATTTCGCAATGAAACTAAGATTGAGTAAGTAATGCTATTTAGATTTCACCTTAATACTATTCTGTAATATCATATTAATAAGTAATGCAAAATTATAGACCTACCATTTGACCTTCTGGCTGATTTTTTTTCCATGGTCTGCTTAGAGTGCACAGAAGAACATTGAATGTAAAGACAAATCGTGTTAATGGGAGCACACATTTTAGCATATATACTTCCTTTTAAAAGTTGACTTTCATTAGAAAATTTGACTTATTTTATATTGAAAACTATATCCATGATAACAGATCAATAAATCGATCTATTTAAATTAAAAACATTGTGAAAATAAAATGATAGAAGTCTGCGGGGAAATATGTTAATTTTGTTCTTATCATGTGAATATAAATACAATTTAAAGTATCCTACTTCATATTCCTCTGACTAGCAGTTAACTTCTCCTTTATCCTATTTTGATCTTTATAATTTAAAGTATTTTTGTTCGGAACTATAGTAATTTAAATGATTTTCTTCCAACATTTTATTATACTTCAATTCCTGTCTTAGTATTAACACTGTTATTTTTCATCATGAATGCTACAACTACTACAAGCACAATGTACGGCAGATAATGAGAGAAAGGGGGAAGATTATACGGGTTAACATAGTTGGTAAGAGAATGTGAAAGTGTAAGGGTTATTTATGATAAACAGGAGTGCACACTTTATGAGCAGCGGGAAATTGAAATACAAATACTAGTGAATACCGCATATAACGATAAATAAGGAGATAAAGAACATCCGGTAGGTAAATTAATAAAAACGAAAAAAACAGCTTAACAAACATTATGTATTTAGACCAAAAAAAAAAAGAAGAAACAAACTATCAGTGGGGATATGAATAGAAATAGAAATGAATAGAAATCAAGAGTTGGTGAAATAAAAAGGAAATGGAACAAGAAGTTAAAGACTGAAGCTTCAAGAAAAAAAACTTTTCAAATGGAATGGGGAATGTCTTTTTTATTTGGAGGTGAACGTAGGGGGCCAGCTGCTTTACGACATACCCTTCTTTCGTTTCACACAGCATAACACTCCATAGAAGTACATCAAACCCAGTGAAATCAGCAGGATGAAACCAGCAGCGGCACTCACTCCAATTGCGATTATCATGTAAGGAAGGTTACTTTCAGTTGATGGCTGCTTCTCAACTGATAAGTCTAGGACAAACAATACCATGACTAGAATGTTGTGGCTTAATGGTTTTCTAAACAATTTTGTAGCAGATTGATTTAATGGAAAATTTAATTATACATGATTTATGTATGGATGTTTCGTTCACATCTCTATATCCTTGTGTTTCAAATAGCGTTATACGAAGCCATGTAGGAGGATGAGCTGTGTTTGGCAGAGTGAAATATCTAATACTACTAGAAAACCTACACGCATATATTAATTCACACACACCCCCAGGTAAGCACCAACACCTGCGCATATGCATGTTTATTATCCCTAACACATAAATACTGACACGTACCCAAGACATGGGAATTCATCTATACCAATGTGCCTGTAAAATGTGAATCTTAAAGCACATGTGAACCCACCCACACATGTTAATCCAATCCACACAACTCACACACGCACATAAACATGTGAAAATTTTCGAACACAAAGGTATTTTCATGTTCATCCACCCACCCACGCACATACATACAGCTTAACGTGAACTCTTTCTGTCTCGTGCTCATTTATCGTTATGTATGTAGATTACATCTAGGCAATGTCGGCTTTAGGTTTCAATGTATAGTTATTATAGTAAGTTATAACGTTAAGGAAGCATGTTGTGATAAATATGCAGTTGCATTCAATAGGGGACTTCTGCTTTTTTCTTGCCACTTAAAAAATATATTGTATGTTTCGAAACCTCGTTTTCATTGAGATCTTGACAACTTTCGCAACTAATGGGAATTGATGGTTTATGTATAGAGGCTCAAAATAGTCTCATTTTCTTATAAATAATTATACGAGAAATGATAATAGCTTAACCTGTTAATATATCAGCTGGTTTACTGCATAATTCCCTCCCAAAGGTCACCAAAACTGTGTCATCATCCGGGTCAATGCTGACCTCTGTGCCCGGTTCAATGCACTCTGAGCTATTCACAGAGGCACAGTCTGGTCCGCTGTAAGTCCTCTGTGTGATGAAGCACATTTCATCCAGGGTTTGGTTTGCCTCTGATAATGTTAAGATATGTTCTTGTTTGTCCCAGCTGGTCGTTATGCCTATATGGCGAAAAAAGCAACAACAAAAAACATAAACAAAACATAGGAAAATAATGTTGGTATTACTATTTTTGGGAGAGACAGAGAGTGGGATGTGTTATGTATTTAGTAAATCGTTTAATTTGATTGTGAACACACAGTCTTAAGATGAGTAGACATACAAGGTTTAAGCTAAATAAGGGAAAGGTTGTTGTGTTTGCTCTGTTTGAGCATCCCACCTTATTTCTTCTCGGTCAAACTTTATTAAACCTGTCAGAACTAGCTATTCGTTTTAATAATTGCATGGAAGAGAATATAATTGTGCTATTCTGTTGACTGATTCAAACTAAAAACTGAAATATATCCCTTTCACTGGACTTAAAAGACGACTTGAGCAGAAAATATGTTGTAGATCCCCAAAGAACCCCTTTCTACAAAAACAAAAACTACATTTGTGCTGATCAGGGTATTTTATTCCTCAAATGGTACGAAAATGATATAACAAATTAATATGAAAGAATTTTCTCTCACATCCAACCAACCAAACAATAAAACAAAAGGCACATTTCTTATTGATAAAGCTTCCTTTCTTACCATAGCTCTCGGGTTGCAATGCTGTATACAGCCCGAACGAGGAAGTATGAAGAAAAAACAACGAACAGAGTTGTTAATACATTACGTTTGATAAGTGGTTTTCAATCTCAGGGTTGTGGTTTGTAAAGTTTCGATTTAAAATGAAAGAAATAGTTATAAATAACTCAGACAAGTTTCTTTTATCAAATGGAAAGTTGTCCGTATTTAATGATTTAGTAAGTGCTTTACACTCAATGTATAAAGTATACAGTATAGATTGAAGTGATTGGTGGTGAGAATTACACTTGTGCAATACTGCAATAAGTTTCATCCTTGATGCATTGTCCATCATCCGACCACAACCATTACCATGCAGCATTAACACAAATAAACAGTTATACCTGAATCTACGCAATAGTGGGAACTAAAATAGAAGTGTATGCACTCATAAAAGCAAATGATGGAAAATTACAAAAAAATGCGTTCACTATTAAACAAAGAGACATATGTTTTGTATAGCTTGTGTGGGTGTTCACATTTAAAACGTCAAGCAAGTCAGAAATTCTCGTTATTTAGAAACTTACGAGTTGTTGAAGCTACTATTTGCACCGCGCTACTATTTCCCGCGCTGTTCACTGCCCATAGAGTCATCCGGTACCAAGTGAAAGGCACCAGTCCCACCAATGTGTGGGAGGTCCCGGCCAAGTTTGTGACAACACCACACCCCTCTTCTTGCGTGTCGTTGAGACAGTATTGCAGAGTGAATGTTTGTTCCAACCCGCCATTGAATCCTGGTTCCCAGGCAACGAAGAGAGTTGAAAGTGTCGTCTTGTTTTGGTCGACGAAGAACCAAAATGGTGGATCTGGGATGACCGTATGTAAACATAGAAAAGGGGATTTTAAATGGTTGAAATGGGAATCTATGGTTTTAAAGATTGTCTTTTACTTTAAAAAGTATTCCAGGGTGAAATGTTGTTGCAACCCGCCATCGAATCCAGGTTGCCAGGCAACGAAGAGAGTTGAAGATGACGTCTGGTTTTGGTCGATGAAGAACCGGGAAGGTGGATCTGGGATGACTTTACGTAAACACACAAAAAATTGGATTTTAAATGTTTGAAATGGTAATCTATGGTTTGAAAGATTGTCTTTTACTTTAATAAGTATTTCAGGATGACATTTTGTTGCAACACGCTATCGAATCCTGGTTGCCAGGCAACGATCAGAGTTGAAGATGTCGTCTGGTTTTGGTCGACGAAGAACCGATAAGGTGGATCTGGGATGACTGTACGTAGACATAGAAAAGGGGATTTTAAATGCTTGAAAAGAGAAGCTAAGGTTTCCAATAAAGGCTTGTATGTAAGAATGTCTGTTCCAGAAAAATAAAAAGCAACCCATGAGATGCGACTCTAACCATGAACAGAGCTACATTTGTTTATATACTCACGATCAATATTTACTTTTAGAAAGTATATATATGTGGTTTCAGAAATAAAGTAATAATAACCCAAAACTTGGAGGAAAAATAATGAGGTATACGTAGAATAATCTTACGGCGCTTCTCAAACTACCCCTGCTACAACAGAAATAACCCAATTCCCGTAAATCGCGCAAGACCATGACGTAAATTCACCATAACGTGCGAAAATGAAAGCTGTATAACAATTAAAAACTAGTGGGTGGAGAGTGATTCTAATTATATCACAACCAATCCAACACAAAAGCCTCGTGATGCTTACCGTATTTGGCCGGTGGTAAAGCTTTGTCCAGAACGAAGAAGCCAAAAGGCAAAATAATAGAAAATACCAAATCTTAATGACATTTAAAAACTGAATTTGCTCTCAAAAGTAAATGGTGACTATAGATTTTATTTCAAATTAAATACATTGGATATGAGTAAACGATATGGTGTATTCTAATAATGAATATATCAGCCACCCTGCTTAGTAGTTGGCTTCATGTTAAAAATACATTGGATATCAAAAGAGTGCATAAAATACAGGAACAGAGATCGATTGCGTTTTACACTGATAATTGAACACGATTGAGAGCGGGAAGGGGTACTGGAAGAATATGGATGTGGTGCATTTCCAATAAAAAGATAATTCAAGTGAGGAATATAAATACACGTGACAGATATTTACGAGCTGTTGATGCCACTACCTCCACCGGACTACTGCTTCCCGCGCTATTCACCTCCCATACAGTCATCCTATACCACGTGAATGGGTAAAGTCCGACCAATGTGTAGGATGTCCCTGTGATGTTTGTGACAAAACCACACCCCTCTGTCTCTGCTTGCGCATCCTTTGGACAATATTTCAGACTGGACGTTTGTTGCAACCCGCCATCGAATCCTGGTAGCCAAGCATCGAAGAATGTTGAAGATGTCGTCTGGTCGACAAAGAAGGTATACATCTGGGATGACTGTAGAGTGACGTAGAAAAAAAGGATTTTAAATTGTTGATATGGGAAGCTTTTGTTTTAAAGATTGTTTTCTTTAAAAAAAAAAATCATTCTGTAAGAAATAAATGTCGTTCTGATGCAGTTACATGTTTCAATACTTTTTTTCAATACTGATTTTGTTTTTGTATACTCACTGGTATAGCTTAACGACGCGGTGTTGTTACCGATATCTGTTGTACCCTGACATTTATATTTTCCAGAATCGCTTGGCTGAACTTTATCTATGACTAGTGTAGTTGTGGAGATTGTTCTCATCCAGACCCTGCCAGCGACAATAAGATGTCTTGTAGTGTTGGTTAGGATCGTCCCGTGACGGTACCAGTAGAAGTTACGAGCCGGCGGATTGGCATCGGATGTACATATGAATTGAACACTGAGGAATTGCTCATGGTTATAGATACGTAGAACAGAAATGGTAATGTTGCTAGGCGAGTCTGTTTTATAAATAAAGAGTGAGATAGAGGCAGATTGGGACAGTTTCATGAACAATAATATGACCCACAAATTTCGAAATAGCGGCGGTATTATTTGCAACGCAACACAATATAGAAATCCAATTTATCAAAAAATACATGCTAAATTCAATCTGTATGATTTTGTATAATTTTACAAAACTAGATATCATAACACGAAATAAGAAAATATTCTGTTTAATGTAATTGGCTTGCATGATTCTGCAATAAAAATTCCCCTACTGCCACTCCCCACTGCATGGTGAAAGGAAAATAGACTTACATGCGATGTTAAGAACATCTGTTTTATTCTTGGTCCATGAGTATGGCGGTGCAGAGTGTAGTATTTCACAGACCAACAACTGTCCATGGTTGTAGCGAGTTGGTACGAATGTAAGATTACTTAGTGTGAATACACGTTGTTCGTAGGTCAACTCAGTTTGAACTGACGAGTACTGTGTAACATTTTCAGACCCGAGGTACCAATGGACCAACGATGTCGGATATCCGTTGTTTGATGTGCAGGTTAGCGTGCTCTGACTCCCAGATTCTAAATTGTTGATGCCGCGAACTATAGGGGTATCCGGAGGTCCTTGGGATACATCATACAAATGAAGAAGACAAAAAAAAGAAATCAAATGGAAGAGACATGAGAGCTGTCAAATCGGGAGTACCCACCCACAAGTTCTAGAAAAACAATCAAATCAATAACATTGGATTTGTGTATATTTTCAATGATCAATATGCTTCAATATATTCTTCATTTAGACCCCGGAATTTAAGAAGCTAAAAATAACCCACAAAACACCAAACATAATACATACTAACAGACAGATACAAAACAATCCAAAATATTGTTTAAAATTGTACTCATACAAAACTGCAACGTTTGATATGTTTTTATTCAAAGTAAACATGTTTAGATTGTTGAAATTTGCGGATAATCGATCGAATTAATGTCTCACAAATCTAAATGTCGTATGCAAATAAGAACAGTGAAATGGGTTTACCAAAGTAGATTTGTCCAAAGTTAAACCGAGGATTCTAGTTTCGACGTAAGCACCTTTACGGTAATTTTGAAGTAGGTTAAGATTTGTCACATTTGTATACCAACCATTTACAATGAACACTATTTCTGCCTCGGCTGTGTGATCCCTGGCTGCTGCTGTACAACGAAGAAATTTGTAGTGGTCTGTTCTATCAGGACGTAATTCCAGAACACTCTCTGAATCAAATAACGTGTCGTCATTGATGTTTGAACTTGCTGAGAAAGTTTTCTGAGTGAGACTCCGGGTGCCAATTGTCCAGCTTATATAGGACACAGGACGGGACCCCAAACTTCTGCAGATGACAGTCACAAGTGTGTTTTCAAAGATAGTAAGACGTGCAGTTTCAGCCTCATTTGTAATTGTGTGTTCTACCACTTGAATCCGCGGATTGGCTGGCGGCACTGTTTCATTACAAAACTATAGATGAAAAAGCAGTTAAGGATTAATTTTAATACTTCATGATTTAACTTTTAATTCATATGGCGTTTACTTCAGACTATACTAATACTATGTGACGTATAGCTTTATACAAAACAACAAAAACAACAACAACTATATGTAATACTGTACATGATTGTCGCGTTACCGAGCATACACATCTTCGTTAACTGAGAGATGAGTTTTGATCAAAGGTCGCTCGTAATGTAGTCAACGAACAACATGTATCATGAATCGGAAATCCCTTTTAGACCCCTTTGACAGTGTAAATTATATGTATTTGAACATTTAAGTTTCCCATTGCCACTGCTATTCATGTGTTCATCTCCTTAAAACTTACCTTCGACATCTAGACGGGTGCTAGTGTGAAGGCCAACATTGTGGTTAGGCACCCTACAAGTCAATTCCTTACCATGGTCGTCTTTGGTTGGTATGACAGTGACTTCTATCCGGGAAACATAGCTATCGCCTTGCACATTATTTGACTGATTCCTTATCAACACATGCACATCTGAAGATATTTGCCATTCCAGTAGTACCGGAGGTCTTGCGCCCAGAGCTGTGCACAAGATGTTATACGGCATATCTGCTGTCATGGTTATGGTTGGACTGCTAGTGTATTCGTCTTTAGAGATTTCGTCACTGATGAATATCACATTTGGCGGGGCTACATATGACAAGATAAATGAGACAGGCAATTTAAGATGTAAATCATATGAGCTTGTTTAGAAGGAACAAGTGTAAAGCTTAATCTGATAATTGATTGTGATATACAGGCATCATTCCATATCGAAATGTCAAAATACCGAATTTCATAGTACGTGCCTGAGTACAAAAACATTTGTTCGAGAATATTTAGTTACTGTTTTTATGTATGCACTTTATATGAGCTTACTTCGTTCCATATATATATTTAAAGTAGGTCCTTGAGTTATTGCTAATATTTTTTACTTGTATATTATTATCTGAATATATAATTAATATAAGTGGCAAAATCCTGACTTGTTGCCGAACAAAATTAAATAAACAACGAAAGTTGGTGTAACACGAAGACGCGAAGACCCGATAGAACGAATTAAGCCCTTAATATTCTAGACTTTCCTTAATCATTAAAACACTTTTAAAATGATATTTTAACAGCGAAAGTTGGGGAAGAGTTCATACCTCTCGACAAGACTTCAAGCTGGACTGCATCGGCATCTAAACCTGCGCGGTTGATGAGTGTGCACTTATATATTCCACTATCATCTATTGTCAAATCTTTGATTGTCAGATTGAAACTGCGAGAATCTGTCGTCAGTATAAGCTTCGAGGAGACTGAATTATTTGTTTTACAAGCCGACACACTGTCAAAGCAGTCAAGAGAAGCCAGAGTTACGAAATCGTTTTTTCCCCATGACATACGGAATTCGCTGGACTGGAACGAATAGAGGCAGGAAAGTTGAATGTCTTCCCCAGTGACGAGGAGGTCTTTAGCAGCGATTGACACTTGTAATTCCCCGCGGCAACCTGCAAGTAAGAATTAATTTCATCATAATTCTTTCATATTCATAACAGACAAACAAAACGGGTACAAGTAATACTGAAGAGCCGTATACGCAGTGTTAAAAAAATGATGATTCGAATGTCAATACCTTCAACAGCATTTAATCATCCTCAGTAAACTTTAATAGGTAATTTAGTATAATAATCCCCTGAAATCTATGTGAATTTCCCAAGCTTATAAGTTCAGAGTACAGATTTATGTTTGTGTTTGTAAAACATACCATTTTTTGAATTCTACAAAAGGAGCATGTTGAATATAGCATCAGTGCCAAATAAGAGTACACCTTTTGCTTCTGCATTCTTCGAGAAATTTCCCAATGAAGTCATTCTAATTCATATTTTCTCGGTAAAATTGTCATTAACCCATTGTAGATTGATAGTTGATTTGTAAAACGTCATGTACATGTATTCAAAACATAGTTAAAAAACGAGAAGCCAAATAAATAATTTCTCAACAATTTCAAAATCAATTAAGGAATACATGTAGTTAATTCCTCTACTTATGTGTATTTCAAACATCATGAGGAGTAATGTACAGCACGAAACACAAATCCTCTTTTTTAAGGAACTTATTGTATTACTTATTCCACTACTCAATATATTAAAGACTAAATATTGATTTTATGATATCTTTTCTGCAAAGATCTAGTAAGATTGCTTAACGTATCCTTTATGTTTGTCAGCACAAAAGAGAAAGTAAGAAAATTGAAAATTATTAACCTTTTTTGTATCAATAATTGGGGTTCATTTGAGAGCTTGCCACGAAATGTTCCAGCGCCCGGTATACGCTTGTTGTGCACTGATATACTATTCAACGCGATCTCTTTGTAACACTTGAAAAATGCTACGTTTTACAGAAATTATGATAACTTTGTTTGTTTTCACCATAATCTTTTAAGAAGTTACAGAGAAAATTAGGTTACACATGCAGTTTTACTGACAAATAATTAAGAATTAATGGCCAATACTTTCTCTGATCTTGTCACTCAAAATCTCCTCGCATTTGATTTGAGACACCCCATATATTGAGGATTCCCTTTGCTAACGTTCATTTAGGCGAGGCGTCAAAAATAAATATACCAGCCAGCGGCAGCTAACTGCACTTGTGCGTCCTGGCTGCATTGTTAAAATTAGCTCAGCCGGCTACCGCTGGCGGTAGAAAATGGCATTCAAAAGCATGCGCCGGCTGCCGCCTTTCGAATGGAAACCGAGCCTCAGATCCCAGCCTGGCGCAAGCCGGCTGGGCTAATAAGTGAAAAATAATTGCCCCAGCCAGGCTTCGGCTGTAATTGCAGCCTCGATGCGCCAATACGTGAGGCGGCAGCCTGCTGGTATCGATATTTTTGACGCCTCGCCTTACCTATTTAGTATGGACTGGCGTACTCGGCCTGAAATACCCAAACAAAAAGACAGTGCGGCTTTGCAGGAAAATTATATCAGGGAATTTCAAGAATGGTATCATAATATTGAATAATAATAAATCTGGATTGATATAGCACTTAATACGAAAAACCGCCTGTGAGCGCTTTTTAGAGATACTATTACAGGTATTACAATGTCATTATTCACACTCCTTAATTGATAGCATTAACTCATGGATCACACATTAATCACATTGCATACCGTTAAAATACACGAGGATGACAAGCAAAATTCCTCTCTGAATGTGAGAACCCATTCTTGGTGTAAAGCTCGTGAAATGATTTCGACGTCTTTCCTTAGAAGGTAAATATGAATAATCGATGAGCGGTCACAATTGGCGCCAGAACGTTATATCTCCTGCCTCCTGAAAGTGAAAGAAATGTGTCTAGTAATTGCATATATCTGTAATTAGTACTTAATGCGACTCGTGATAAAATATAAATGAGATCTATTTTTTTTTTTTTTTTTTGCACGGGTATTGAAACTATAACTTTGCCACAAACTAACGAACGGAATATTCCTTGTTCCCGAGATAACGCTAGACGGCGCTAGTACTTTTACATACAGTTGTATTATTGTACATGAATTAAATTTGACTTATTTACCATGCATAGGTGACGAATCTCTATGGAATGCTGTTTGGACTTTCTAATCTAGTATATTTGTTAACCACTTAGGCCTATCTCGTGTTTGGCAGACTGTGAATGTGTAGTGGTTTGTGCGTGTATTTGTTTGTGGATGGACGTGTATGTGTATGTGGGTGGGCGTGTATATTTATGTGGGTGGGCGTGTTTATGTGTGTAGATCATAGATGAGCGTGTATATGTGTGCGGGTGGGCGTGAAAATGTGTGGGTAGGCGTGTACATGTGTAGGGGTTTGTGCGTGTATCTGGGTATATTACAACAATATGTTCTTGTTGTTATTCTTCTATTGAACCAAATGCATATTTTGGGGGCATTTTCTATATAAGATTTTTTCAAAAGGGCTACGCATGATATATGTTTCATTATACTCGATTCAAACAAGTAAATAGGAAAATAAGGATGCAAGATATGAGCCTCCCTTATTGTAAAAAAGTAACTTGTTTCTTTAATTAATGCAATAATAGGAGCATGTAATGACAAGCTCATTGTTCGTGATTTTTCTGTAAATATCTTAGATTCTTTAACGGATTTGAAGAAAATAAGATAAAGAGGTATACTAACTGGCTTTCTATTCTATTTGATGAGATCGCTGATTGATACCGTCATGGTCCATGACTCCATATTGAAATACATGTATTCTCATGGCGGATAAACTAAAGACTGTATAGTAGTGAGGCACAACCATACTTTTGTATAGCCGTAGCCTTGATATCATGTACGACTGTCTACTACCATGTCCCTGTGTTTTCAAATATGTGTTATTTTAAACTGGCTTCCATGAATTCAAAAATTTAGAGTGCGTCCACTTATTAGGAGCCTAATTGTATACCTTCAATCTTGCCTGCATTTGTATTACCTCTTAATGGAAATAGATATATACGTGTGAAGAACCCCATCATCACATCCTGGTTGCCAAGTAACGAAGAGAGTAAAAGATGTCGTCTGATTTAGGTATACGATGGAATCGGGTAGGAGTATTTGGGTTGGCTGTAATATTTCAGAAAAATGTGGGAGAGGTATGGCACGGTTACTCGCTCATTTTCATTTTATTGTCACCTACCTATAAAGAACAGAATCAAATCATGTCCACATGAATCGTTAAGGACCAGCCCGTAGTTCATCCTTATCTGCATGGAAATATTTGGGAAATATCGAATGTCCTCAAGCCAAATTGTAGGAAATAATACTCCCCCATTATGCCCCGTATCATGTACTGTGTAAACAATGCTACCTTTTATGTAGGTTTTCGGCTACTTACTTGAGAAGTTGAAGTAGATAACGGCACTGTCGTTACCCAATGTTGTCGTGGCCAGGCATTCATATTTTCCTTTATTGATCACCTTTGGGTTACTGATCATCAGCGTACTTGTTGTAACCGTTTCGGTTTCTTGGAAATCCCATTGGTGGACCACAATTTTGGTGTCATTTTCCAGCCTTGATCCATTGAAGAACCACTCGAAGATACGGGCTTGGGGTCTAGCATCTACCTGACATGTAAACCGTGCATACATTCTCCCATCACCAGCCACACTTCGACGAGCCCACAAGCCGACAACGACGGGAGGATCTAGATATTGATAGAGAAAATACAATGTAGTGAGACAGAGGGTGGCAAAGGGCCTGGTGGCGAAGCTAAAGAAAATATCATGCTTTGAAAATGTTGCTTTCCGCTAGCGCGGTGCACTAAAATATGTGAGTTAATAGGAAATACTTTACTTGGATGAAAAGTGCAAAAGGCAAACAAATAACTACCGTCTTATCGAAGTTTGGGTAGCTTTAGGAACTACTTATAAATTAGTCGTCGAGACAAATGGTTAAAAGAAGTTAAAATGAAATATCTGGCATTGCTCCTTGCAGGAACGGGGAAAATACCTCTGCCAAGGATTAAAGCTGTCACACTCTTGACAGGATCTTTCTTAAAATACATCACGTGAAAATTGTAATTGCATTATGATGAACCACACAAACAAAATATGCCACCGCAAGAAATTACTTGCCTATTGCTACTTGTTCTAGCACCTAAATAAAAGAGGTTGCCCACTTAAATTCCTCGTAGTTTTAGACGTATGATTTGTTTGATATAAATGATTATGAATATCTCACTTACATGAAATCTCGATCGTTTTCCTTACGCTCCTAGACCACGCAGACTCAGGTTCAGACATGGAGACCTCACAAACTAGGTACTGGCCGTGGTCGCTCTTCTTGGGTGTGAACGTAAGCACACTCCTTGCAAATATCCTGTTATATCCATTCAGTTCTTTTTCTGTTGCTGAATCATTTGTCAGATCGGTCGTTCCTAGGTTCCACTGAAATACAGGCGCTGGATATCCATTGTTGGCAATGCATGTGACCGCTGCGGACATCCCTGCTTGCAGGTTACCGGTAGCAAGCATTTGCGGAGTATCTGGTGGTCCTTTAAAATTGAATTGTTGATTGAGAATATACTACTGGAGGAAACATCATAAGAATTATAACTAAATTTGCATTTCATTTGTTACTAACACTTTATGTTAATTAATGCTTGATACATTTTCCCCACTCATTATGAAAGGGGCCAAACAGGAACTCCATCGTAAGTATTACCATGTCATTTGATTATTATATGATATTGAAATGCCGTGAGTGCTATACGATGGTGTTCTGCAGTAGATTACCACAATTCACGCGTCGGCACAAAGAACAAAATATTCTGAAAGCGATACAGTTGTATAGTGCATACATATTTGTCCAGGATGGAATATTATTAATAAGGAAAGAAATAATGTTATTCATTAACTCACCATAAACTACTAATCTCACTTCTGCATGAACTTGATGTTTTCCGGCAGGTGCCAAACACGTCACCAGTTTGTAATGGTGACTTACATTCGGTACCATCCGCAACCTACTCTCTGCATCAAATAAACTCTCGTCCATGCTATTTCGGGTAGCGGAAGATGTGACGCCATCCGTGACCACTGAATCTCCAAGTTCCCAGAAGAGTATGGCAACTGGACGAGACCCGACACACTTGCAGGTGATGACGACTGGAATGTCTTGAAAGACGACTAAAGATAAGGTTTCCGTTAGGTTGGTTATGTTGGAGGAAGATGAGAGCTGCAATTCTGTAGGAAGGACTTAAATTAAGAAATGAAAGATGATTGCAACCTATGTAATTAAAGTTCACGAAATAATTACGAAGATGGGGAAATAAAAAATACCTGCATAGTTGCAGACTTGAGTTATGTCCTGAAATATAAGCCGGCAGTCGTGTTAGTGTTGAGCTAGAACAATTTCATGGGGAAAGTAGCTTAGCAACAATGATTGAAATACTCGGCATATTGAATTAAACATGTAATCAGGTGTAAGTAGACGTATCAATCTCCGGACGAAGTAGGATATTGATTTATCAATTCACTTTTTAAAAATACCTTGAATATTGAGAAGGATGGTTGCTTGGAGTACATTTTGCAGTTCCCGATGGGACGCCAGACAGCGAATGATTCTGTTGTGATAATCTTTAGAAGGTGTTATGGTGGCTACCCCGCGAGATATGTACATGTAGCTTTGACCTTGAACAACATCTACCTGATCCATGACCTGGATATGTTCAGCATCGGTGCGCCACTCAATGAGAGCCGGTGGGCGTGCCCCTCGTACAGTGCATGTGATGTCACGTGGTTCACCTGCTGTCATGGAAATGTATGGGTTGTCGGGATATCCAATTGGAGACCGGTCGTCACTGATAAATAAGTCACTAGGTGGGGCTAATAATTGAAAGTTCATCACGGAAAGAAAATCAATAAGAAAAGAACACACACCGAAATTTGCGTCCAAGAACAATTGCTGAAACCTAAACTTTAGTACTGAGTTTTTACCGGAAATGCAGTTTAATTATTCAAACTCATCAAGTTTTATTTTTCATCTCAGAATATTATTTTCATTCATTTTATATCATGTGCTTTCCATTGCCAAATTGTCTTTAAAATCATTATTGTCTTTCATTTAGGAAACTCGCTTACCATTGTCCTTCATGTTATTTTTTGTCAGAAGTCTCTGTGAACACAATACACAGGGGCGGTTTTATAATTGTATTCATGCTATCATAGTGGAGATTATGAGTTATTTCCAAGAGTATAAGGAACTGAATATTGTAACCATGTACATTAACATAAAACTTTCAAATTGAATGGATAGTCTTCTAATTAGCCTATGTAAAGGAATCTTAAGCATGTTTTAGAGTGGATAAAAACTACACGCATAAGGCAAAGAGCAACACAATGACGCCGAAAACGTACTTATCTTGACGGGCCATTTGTTCGTGAAGTTGTGTGATGACACATATGTCTAAGCTTTCCATATTTTAATTAAAAGAAACTACACCTTTAGATACTAGTTGTTTTGTGCTAAGTGTGTGATTGTATAAGGAAACGAGAGAAATGTAGATACATTTCCAAAATATGTGCCTTTACTTTACAAGATAAGTCATTTTTACCCCTCTACAAGGTGCTCCCATTCATACATACGGGGTCCTTTAAAAAGTGGCATCCTTACAGGACTATGTAGATAGCAGTAGACCGAGGTGTTTTACCCCTCCTGAAGCGAAGGTCTGGATACCCCACTGAAAATGTCATAACTTATGCATTACCATTACCTGGGTTTAGTACTTGTAATGTCATATTCGAAGAATCGTGCCCGTCTGCGTTAAATACAATACAGCTGTAATCTCCATTGTCGTCAGTATTTAAATTGTTTATTGTGAGGGATGTGCTGTGGTCATCTCCCATGAACTTGTACTTTGCTGGATTGGGAAAAGAAGTTCGAAATGGAATCGCAGTTGTGTACTGAGCAAACTTTAAAATGGTGTTCCCATGTCTCCACCTAATCACACTATAATCAGAAGGAGGTGAATAGGCACACCTCATTGTGAAATCATCTCCCATGACGGGCAAGTCATGTGGTGTTTGCATAACCACTGTATTTTGACCATTCGAATGTAGTATTATTTATGGTAACAAATTCGTGTATTCAACATTTACGTTCATCATACTATTTGCGTTTACATCCAAGACCAAACAAATGTGACGAAATATTTTATTAGCATGAGTTATTTTATGAGGACTTAAGTGGTGCGTTATAAAAAAAAATTATCATAGGAACTTGAGCGCTTTACATATTCCATCGTCATGCGATTTCAACTTACCTTTCTCGCAGAAGAGAAGGGCGAGCCAGAACAGAGCATGAGATGCCATATGTAGTCAAAGGAATGAAATATTGAAACCTTGAAAATCCTCTGACCAAAAAGGCGTTGGAAAATGCTGAATCATTTAAAAAAAAAATGGAAGCAAAAGGGGGACTACAATTATTTCCAGAAGAAAACAGTTGGCTGCCAACGTCTCCGAGGTGCAATGAATACGAAAGTAGTGGTATATATTGATGACGAGTTCGTTCAGCTTCTTTCACTCATCACAATCGAAAGTACCATTTATTAATCAGTGAAACATCATATCCACACTCAAACGGCAGAGTGTGCTATTTAATTCAAGGCGGGCTTATTAATTGGTGTTTCATTCAATGTCTAAGCATAAAGCTATTTCCAAAAGCCTTTCATAGATACAGGATTCATTCAATATTTGTTCCTTGCGATTTAAAAATAAGAAAATTATGACGATGTTTTCCTCGTGAAATAATTATAATTTTATTATTATCACTGTCAAGTTATGAACGATTTCACAACATTCATCATATTCTTGGGTGCCATTTATAAAGTAAAGCAGGGTTAAACATTGCAGCATCCAACCATCGATTACAGGTTGCCAAGCAACGGAGAGAGTAGATGATGTCGTCTGGTTTTGATCGACGATGAACCTTTAAGGCGGATCTGGACTCCCTGGAAGATTTGTTTTGGTAAATAGAAGGCAAAATTGATGTACTGAAAGATAATATCTGCTACTAAAACCCAAGAGGTATCCAATCGATTTATGCTTGGTATTATATAGCAATGACGGTTGAACGACAGATGTTCCTGCGATAAATACTTCCCGGTCAATTTCGTATACTCAACGAAACCCAACTTTAAACCCTAAACGACATACCTTTAATAAAACAGAACCCTATTCATAAACATAAACCTACCGCTGCCCTCCAAACATAGACTTATTACCCTTACGATGTATAATTTGTGAAATAAATCCCAATTGTCGAAGCATAGTCCAATACATAAATGCCTATCAAACTGTGCCACATTTGATAATTGTGCAACTTTAATTATTGCACTTGTGACAAACCTACCAGAATACGACAAAGTGATAGTTGCGTTGTCGTTCCCGAGCCTTGTCTCTGCCAAGCATATATAGTTGCCTTCGTCTTCTGCCGAAACATTTGAAATAATCAAAATGCTACACATCAAGGTATCCTCTTTTAAAACACTGTGGTGAATCTGATGGCGGTTGCTGTTGTTGAGTTCAGTGTCATTCGAGAACCAGGTTATTGAGGATAGGGGTCTGCTCTTTGATGTACATGTAAGGATTGCATCAATGCTTTGTTGAACACTAGAAACCCGACGAACGGAGGCTTCCACAATTACAGGAGAATCTACCAAAATAAATTTAGGAAGAAGAAATTACGTTCAGAAAACAATAAAGGAAGGCCTAGGAGGATATAATTGGTGATTGTATTCATGAGTAGCGTAAGTGAATACCTATTTTAATCGTTAACAATATTTTGTGAGGCTAACATTTTAGCACTATGATGCTCTTTTTACAGGTCTATGGATCCTTTAGTATTAATCTGAACCAGTAAATAGTTATTTGTAAAAGGAGAGAAAATCAAACCAGGTGGGATTTTTTAAAAGAAAGAACTTACCCCTGCCCGTTCAATATAATCCCGGGAAAGTACATATAATCGTCAACTCACTGCAAACAGCAAACTAACATCACGTAATGGCAATGGTTGTAATGCCTCTTTTAGCGGTGAGACAACGTAATATACCTGCCTCGTGATAAGATCTACATGATGAATGGGTTAGGCTTAAATAAATCAGACTTACAAAGAACTTGCAGAACCTCACTGACACTCCAATACTTCATGGATGTAGCGTTTGGTTGAAATACTTGACAGACAAGGAGTTCATCGTGATCGTCTACCGTGGGTGTAAAATTTAACAAACTTATGCCATCCAGTCGATTATTTATATTCCTCAAAGACTGTGTATAAGAATCTTTGGGGACGTTCTTTGATCCAAGGTACCATTGAAATGTTGGTGCTGGGTAGCCGTTGTTCGATGTGCAAGTCACATTTGATGACACCCCATCTTGCAAACCCTCCGTTCCACTTAGGTAAGGAGGATCCGGTGGTCCTTAAAAATCAAAACATATTTATTATCTCATTTTTTAAGAATATAAGCCCATGTGACTTGCATGTAATATATATATCCCTGCCAAAAACACGTCTTGCCTATATTATGAGCATCAACAAACTTTGATCCCAAGTAACTCATATTCTGAAACAAGAAAGGAATCATGTTGATATCTAGATTAATTTGCTTGAGCTATCAGGAAGGTTTGTCACTAAAGACTTTCCAAACATGTTCACTTCTTTGAAAAAGTATGGTATGAATATCCCGGCATGTCAAAGTCAATGTCAAAGTGTGTCGCAATATGCCCCAGACCCCATTCGGTCTTCTGTTCTGAATAATAGAAGATGGGGTACGAAATACTCACCATAGACGATAACCCTCACTTCTGTTTGACGCTGGTTCATACCAGCATACGCAACACATCGGAGAAGTTGATTGTGATGCCCCCTCTTTGGAATCAACTGTAGAGTGGACTCTGTGTCACGTAAACCTTGGTCGGCCTCATTCGGGGTAGACGTAGAGGTCGTGCTACCCAAGTCGTCGTCTGAACCAATGGTCCATGATATAAGAGCTGTTGGGTGAGATCCTATACTCTTGCAGGTGAATGATGTTGCCGAGTTCTCAACGACAATGACACTTCTTGTCTCTGTTGCGGTAAACCGGAGGTCACTTGGCGGTACTGAATGGGAAGAGAAAGGAAGACCCGAAGTTGTTTACGACGTCAGCTACTGAAAGGAAATATATCTAATCCAATCCAGGTATTTTTAAGATCTAGTTGCCTAATGAAAGGCCCTGACACAGAGTTGAATTATTGCTGACAACATGATACAATTACATAGGCGATTAAGTCATCATGGGATCTACTGACGTTCTTAATATTCCCTACGATAATGCACAAAATACAGAAACGTGAAAAGTGTTTTAGGAGATGTTGAATGTTAGATCCATTCCAGACATTCCTCATATTTAGATGCATATTCTCTTGGGCAGATCACACATACTTACACCGAGCTATCCATGGGATGATATCATTATTAAGATTATCACCTTGAACATTGAGGCGGATAAACAATTGAAGCCTATCATCCAGATTCCGATGCGAGGCCACACAACGGACAATCTTTCCATCATCGTCCCTAGATGGAGTTACGGAAACAACTCTTCGAGAGGTGTAAGCGTCATCATGAACAACATTATACTGATCTTCCAGTCGAACCTGCACTTCTTCGGAAACGTCCCATTCCACTTGTGCAGGTGGTATAGCGTCTTGAACCGAACATGTTAGGTTTAGGGTTCGCCCATATGTGATGCTGACCGATGTCCCATTCTTGTATTCCTTCTCAGACCGATTGTCGGTGATGGATATCAATCCCGGCAAGGCTGGATTTTAAGAAAACAAATATATTGTTAATAGTTCCCACTAAATATACGTCTTGTAAACGTTTGTGTCTACCAAATTCTAGGACCGATTTGGACATTAAAAGAAATACCACAATGTCAATAATGTTAATACTATTTGTAAAATACTATAGTTTGAATTATTTTCTGTAACGAATCGAACATGATGTATCATAATAGTAATATATTGAGAACTGGAGTACTAGTTATCGATGACGATACATCCGGCATGACTGTTGTATTCAAACGTTCGAATGTTGTATTGATTTTGAATGAGAAATGAATCATTGATATTGTAATTTGGCACACATCACAACTAGATCATCCTATCCAGAATAATGTTATAATAAATTACCTGGTAGCACTACCTTCAGTACAATTTCACTTGCAGCTGCACCAGAAGATGTGAGAACTAAGCACTTATATCTGCCACCGTCATCCACTGTAACATTCATAATAGTTAGATTTCCACTGGAAGAATCTGCCCTCAAGACGTACTTGGACATATCTGGAATTGTGTTCTCGTTTCTGCATCCCACCCCTCGACATGTTTCAGTAGCCAGGAGACTGTCGTTCCCGTATTGCCAATACAGTTGGCGATTTTTCGATGAAGAAACGACGGTGCAGGCTAATGTTATATCGTCACCAACGACTGGGATGATGTTGGGGTTCTGAATACTAGTATACACGCTCATCTCATATGTCTTAGAAACGATGAAGGTGAGGTAAATAAATATTTGAAGACGTTCATCCATGTTGTTATTACGTCTCATTTCCTGGTATATCCCGACTGTGGGGGTGCGTTGCTTGAACCATCCTGCTACCTAACACAATATCCGGAGAATAAATGAATGCACAATGTGCAGTAACGGTTTTCAATGACTAAATGAGTGGTCAAAAGAAAAGCGGCTGATATGCTTATTCACTTTTCTCTTGCGCTTCGAAAGTGAAAGGAATTCATCTCTCTGAAGAGCATAAGTGCGCTGTCAGTTACAAACAAAAAGTGGGTTTCGGAACTTACTTTAATTAAAACTTTGGCCATTATTAGATTAAATTACATTATGAGTGCACCGATAATATTTGTTACTTTCAATTTGACTTTCGATAATACCTTTTAGGTATATAACATTTGGTAGATATTTTTAGGTAGGGGAATAACAGGGAATTATACTAATTTCTTTACTGCACATGAGAGAAGAGTTTGAG